ACGCCCCCCGGGCCCCCCCCCCCCCCCAAGCCACCCAGAAGCCTCAAATCCTCTGTGACTTTCCCAAACCCTTCTGGGACCCCCAAAGATCCTCAAGGACCATATGGGAACCTTGCATGTTCCCTCTTGACCTTTCAGGGACTTCAGCCCCCCCCGCCCTTACCCCAGGACCTTCTGGGACTCCCAACTATCCCAGGAACCCTCTGGGACATCTGGGACCCCCCCAGGGGACTTCAGGGACCCCTGAAGAGGCCCTTCGGTGCCTTCCTAAAGTCCTCAAGGACCTTATGGGGACTTCAAGGCCTCTCCAGGAACCCTCTGGAACTTCTGGGACCCACCAGGGGACATCAGGCCCCTCCCAGCCCCTTTGGGCTCCTGGTGTTGCCCCAACCTGGACATCGATGGCGGTGATGTCCTCAACCACACGCTTCATGACGGCACGAACATTGCGGGGCTCGACGGTGCCCAACCAGTCTCGTGTCTCCACGCCCTTACTAAGCATCTGTGCTACCGCAGCACCCTGGACCTGCACGTAGTGGTCGAGCAGGCGCTGTGCAGCCCCCCGTGCCTCTGCGCACAGTGCTGGTCCTGGTGTCACCGCCGGGCCCGTGTCCTGGGGGTGCAAGGGACATGGAGATGTGTAGAGACATGTAGGAACAACCCCCACCCCTCCCATCACCACTGGCCCTATGGCCTGGGGATACAAGGGACGTGGGGACATGTGGGGATGCCTCCCATGCCTCCACCATCTGATGTCCTGGGGGCACAGGGACATCAGGGGACACATGGGATGCTCTCCAGTCCACCCCACCTGCAGCAGCATCACTGCCATCCTCATATCCTTGGGGCATCTGGGGGGACTTGGGGACATGCAGAAGCCCCCTGGGGACACAGTGAGGTGCCCTTGGGGACATCTGGGAGACACTGGCAAAGGTAAGGACCCTTCTGCCTTCATGTGCACTGCCATCCCCAGGGTCATATCCTGGATGGACATGGGGTGACAGCAGGGCACAGGGAGGTACCTGGGGACATTCTGGGGCACACAGACCCCCATACCTCCACACACACCATCGTCCCCACCACCACATCCTGGGTGGACACAGAACCACAGAGGAACTCGGGGCCATTTGGGACCCCCTTGGGGCCATTTTGGGAACAATCAGACCGCTTTGGGTCCACTCAGGGATGTTTTGGGGGACGCAGGCAGAAGGAAGATCCCCATGCCTCCATGCACACCATGGCACCCACCGCTGTGTCCTGAATGGATGCTGGGACAAAGGCATTTTGTGACATCTTGGAGACATTCAGGGTCCCCTTAGGGCCATTTTGGGGCCAACTGGGGCAGTCTTGGGGGCTCACCTGGGGGGGAAACTGCTCGTCGGTGAGAGTGAGGATGTAGCTGATGGTGGTGGCCTCATAGTCCAGACAGAGGCGGGTGAGGAGCAGCAGCAGGGCTGGGGGTGCCGCAGGGGCCCCCCGCTCAGCCGGGCCATCAGCGAAGCCTCGGGCGGTGCGGCAGAGCCAGCGCACGAAGGCCACCACCAGCCCTTCGCGCACTGCCTCCACGCAGAACTCCCCCTGCAACCAAAAATAGGGGGTTACATCCCAAAAATACCACCCTTAGGCCCCCAGACTACCCTGTACAAGCTCCAAACCCACCCCAGTGACCCCTCGAACTGCCCCATGCCACCCTGCACCACTCCACAGCCCACCTTGAAGTAGGGCAGGCTGGCGAAGGCGACATCCTTGGCGGTGAAGAGCTGCACGTAAGCCAGGACGGCCTTGAGCTGGCCAAGGACAGAGGAGGGTGTGGCCAG